ATTAATCTCTAACTGTGGAAACAGGTGGGTGGCATGCACTAGGAGCTGGGTCTCTGGTGAATGTCGCTTTCCTGCAGTTTTCTCATATTTTAACCCATATTCATCTGGATTTTTCAAATCTCTTGGTTTTTCTTTGGTCAAGCAAAAACTCGAAGTGCTCAGTAAGTTGGCAATCGTGAGCTTATAAAGCTGATTATTATTAACACTGTTGCACACAACACTCTCAATTCATAAATTTCGATTTAAAGCTTTCGTGACTGCAGGGATTCATCTTCTTGGTTCATTCGGTAAAGTCACGTAGAAGGGAAATAATAAAATAATAAAAATAAAACATAATAAAATACAATTCTCACGACGTTTCGGCCACAACGCAAGCAGCCGTCCTCAGGTGAAGAACAGGTCTGTCGGAAAGACAGCGTCTGAATGAAACACCACCAAGCTTGGCAGCGTAATTTTAAGCTGGGTTAGGGGAGGAAGAGCGCCTTCCCAAAAGGAATTTGCATAACAGAGGAATTTAGCATATTAATGGAAAATGCAGATATGGGATTAGTCACTACTTGTGGAATGCGTAGGAGGTGGGGGAGAATTGTATTTTATTGTTTTCTTTTTATTATTTTATTTCCCTTCTACGTGACTTTACCGAAAGAACCAAGAAGATGACACCTTAGAAGTTGACGACCACTCTCCCCGTATCCTCCAGATTGTAAGACGAAGCACTGTCCCGTGTCAGTACCATTGGCAGCTGCTAACATAACATTGTGTGAATGACGACATGGGTGTCAGTGTATTTATTGAGACAGCCGATAAGAATTACAATACCGTGCATGACAAGGCCCTCATCGTAACACGGGGGCACGCGCGAGGCGAATAATCGCGACATTACACGAATACAGCTACATAAGTTCGGGCAAAACTAATGTACGAAACGATAAGGTTTAGAGAATGAATCAATGCAAACGTTGACAGAGTCCCCGGTTACATTCACAGACGCCGACAACAACAACAGCAACAACAACAATGCCGCCCCTATGCAGTGCTGTCACACTCGCCGGCGGTGAGGGGGGGGGGGTGTGGGTGGCTGAATTAACACGAGTGAGCTGCCAGCCTCACATCCGTTACTTGAATGTTTAATTGGGCCTCTTTGTTAAGGAGTGTTAGTGAGTAAACATCGTAAACAGCCGCCCGCCGCTCGATCAAAATCACCTCTCCGTTTCCGTAATGCACGCCATGCCGAGAATGCGGTTTGTATTTCCTAGCGCACACGGGCGTCGACTCACCCCCAGCCGGCGTTCTCATTGGACGCGGGGGTTCCTCGCGTGACCAATCGCGACGCTCCTCGCCTGAAGTCACGCGCCCTTCGACCAATGGGAATTGGGCAACGAGCAGCGCGCTGTTTAACCGCTCTAGGAAATGTAATGTAACGTTTTTTTATGGGAGCGGTGGCGCAGTGGTTAGCGCAACTGAGCTTGGGGCAATCGTCAGTGGCCAGTGGTAATTGAACCGGTCCTGGGCATCCCCTCGGTCGACTCAGCCTAAAATTAGTGCCTGGTGCAGGTGTGTAAACATACCTGTCAACCCCTTATTAGTGCCCTTTATCTTATTGCAGACCAATTTCAGACCTTATTGGTCACCCCAATGCCCCTATTAAATCTCAACGTTCATCCTACAAAGTGCCATCACAAGGGAGAAACACAAACAACAATCTCTCTGTACAAGCTGTATGGGTTGACAGCGTTGTGTAAACATCAACATTGGGGAGACAAATGTGGCTGGGCGTGGATGCTGACCTCCACAGCCGTTCGCTCACAGCGCTGAACCCCAAAATCGTTCATTGCTATACGCGGCGTCTGCTTGATGTTTGTGCACGTGGGTGTTGTAGGGGTCGTCCATAAATGACGTCACGCACCTTGGGGGGGGGGGGGGGTCAGACATTTGTGACGACGTGTGACGAGGGGGGGGGGGGGTGAGAAATGTGACGTCACTTCAAAATGCGCAACTTTAAATAAATATAGACAACACGTTCTACTTGATTAAATAGACTTTTTAATAAATGTTTTCTCCTACAACATCAGAGTGCATCGCCACATTAAATACGCACTACAATGGCAATAGTTTAAAGCGATTTAAAGCATGTTTTATTTTTTTTGGGGGGGGGGGGTAGCAGAGCTTTGTGACGTCATATTTGAGGGGGGGGGGGGTCTGACTTTTTGTGACGCCGTGTGACGAAGGGGGGGGGGGGGTCAAAAATCGTCCAAAATCGCGTGACGTCATTTATGGACGGCCCCGTACATCTCTCAAGAACAATGAGCAGCTTGATAGAACAGCAGGGTGGCAGAGGCGGTTGGTGCATTTGCCAGTCATCTCAACACCTGTGACCTGCCGCAACTTCACGCGATGACCTCAAAGGGGCCGTCCATAAATGACGTCACGTGATTTTGGACGATTTTTGACTCTCCCCCCCCCCCTTCGTCACACGGCATCACAAACAGTCAGACCCCCCCTCAAATATGACGTCACAAAGCTCTGCCCCCCCCCGCAAAAAAAACACGCTTCAAATCGCTTTAAACTATTGTCATTGTAGTGCGTATTTAATGTGGCGCTGCACTCTGATGTTGTAGGAGAAAACATTTATGAAAAAGTATATTTAATTAAGTAGAAAGTGTTGTCTATATTTATTTAAAGTTGCGCATTTTGATGTGACGTCACATTTCTCAAACTCCCTCGTCATACATCGTCACAAATGTCTGAATCCCCCCCCCCCCCAAGGTACGTGACGTAATTTATGGACGGCCCCAAAGTGCACTTAGCCTGGCACGAGCGTTGTGTTGACATCACCACCGCTCAGTGGTGAATTACGCGAGCCTTTGTTGAATAACACTGGAGTTTATGTCATTGATGATCCGACACTCACTAATCACTCCACTTACCAGCGATCCGTCATCTCCTTATCACTCTTATATCGCTACTACTACCATGGTCACTCTTCCCCTGAACTCCAATCGGTGATTCCTTTTCATCCGTGTTGAGGGCCCGGTCTGACAGAGACACCCACTCATCCGCACCCTTCACCCTCTACACTGCAGATTATACTGACGCGATCTAACCCCAAAAGCTTTATCATGAATAATATTGGTCGCGAAAGCCTTCGTGTTAAACTGAATAGGTGTGTGTGTGTGTGGTCACGCTCAGAGTAGGGGGTACAGCTGGTGCATCTACCGGTCATCTCAGTCATCCAACCCATGGCACCTGGGTGCCAACCCATGGCACCTGCTGGGTCTGTCCCGTGACCCTCCTGACAGCGAGCCTTCGACACTTCACGTGGCCTCAAAGTACACCTGGCCTGGCACAGTCGCCGTGGTGATGTCACCGTCACTTGGTGGCGAATGGCGTGGTATTGGTGGTATTGGCTGTGTGGGCAATGCTCGTGTGTGTGGATACTGAGGGTGTGGGGAGCGGTGGCGCAGCGGTCAGCGCGCTGCGCTACGAACCCGGCGCGACCTAAGTTCGATTCCCGCTCACGGCCACCAACACCGGTGACGATTAACTGAACCGGTCCTGGGCCTTCCCCGAGGTCGACTCGGCCTCAAATGAGTACCCTGTGCGGTGTGTAAACATCGCCATTGGGGAGACAAAGGCGGCCGGGCGTGGTGGTACTCACCCACATCGTGTGCCGGTTCCGGCCTTCCTTCGTGCCACTCGCTAACAGCACTTGCCCCCCACAATGTGTCAAGGCTATACGGGGGAACTTTGTATGTAATAGTACTGTGCATAATACTGTAATAAAGATACGTGCATATATATTGCGCCCATAACGTAATGAAACCAAAAGTCTCGTAGCGCAATTTACTTTAGCCTAGGGGGGACCCCCCCTAATGGCAGCTTATCCCTCTCCCTGTGCTGTTACAAGGCGACGCAACACAGACCTCCAGTGAGCATTGGGGTGTTAGCCTGCCAGCAGGGGGCAGTGATTACTCAGTGTTATCAGAATTCAACATGATACAACGGTTCCACCTGAAGACGGAGGCTTGTGTTGCCTCCGAAACGTCGTGATTTTTATTTTTATTTTATTTTTATTTTTTATCTACGTGACTTTACCGAAAAAACCCAAGAATATGGGGGAGGTACTCTATTACCCCAAGTGGAAGACGGAGCGGTGGCGCAATGGTTAGCAGCGCACTGCACTCCGAACCCCGGCCGCCCGAGTTCCATTCCCGCTCACGACCAAATAGCCCTGGCTAATATTTCAACCGGTCCTGGGCGTCTTCTCGGTCGACTCAAGGTTAAATTTCGATTTAAAGCTTTCGTGACTGCAGGGATTCATCTTCTTGGTTCTTTCGGTAAAGTCACGTAGAAGGGAAGTAATAAAATAATAAAAATAAAACATAATAAAATAATTCTCACGACGTTTCGGCCACAAACACCACCACGCTTGGAGCGTATATTTGGTGGTGTTTCATTCAGACGCTGTCTCTCCGACAGACCTGGTCTTCACCTGAGGACGGCTGCTTGCGTTGTGGCCGAAACGTCGTGAGAATTATTTAATTATGTTTTATTTTTTATTATTTTATTACTTCCCTTCTACGTGACTTTACCGAAAGAACCAAGAAGATGACTCAAGGTTACATGAGTACCTGGTGCGGTGTGTCAACGTCAACTCTGGGGAAGACAAAGGTGGCTCGGCGCCACCCATCCCCCCTCGTGTGCTGTGCCGGCTTTCATGGGTGCTTGCTAACAGCACTTACCCCAACAGTCTGTTGTAAAAGACGCTGCATGTGGTATGATGTATTTACGTTGAACGTCTTTCACACCGTATGTAGCCAACCGTGCTAATCGGATGTGCGTGGGAAGAACAACCAAACTAAACATGAAAATATATTCCAAAGGAGTAGGAGTACATCTGTTTCAAAATGTGTGCATGTGTGAATGCGAGCAAAATGTACGTGTGCAATCGTGTCTGTTTCAATAAATGACGAAAGTCGCACCTTACACTTTTTGACACAAACTTTTAAACGGGACTGTCTTTATTGTCACGAGATGCAGCAACAAAAAAACACAGTTTGAAAGTCCAAGTCCATAACTGTGTGCGATTCGTGTTCAGACGTGTCTCCATCATCAGCATGGACACACGTGTAATGTTCGATTATCAAAGTAAAGCCACAGTATCGGTTCGGCTAAAAAGGTGCCGGGTCACTCCCGAAAGTAGCTGTCATCGAGTATCAGCTATAGCCCACTGCACAGCCAAACACATACCCACGTGTGTGTGTCTGTGTGTGTGTCAATGTAACATGAAGCTATAACCACAAATACGCTTCATCTCAATCCACTCCCAACGCTCAACTCTCTTCGAATCGGAATCTACACCGCACGCATTAAAGGCATCGTCGGTCCTAATAAGGCACTGGGAGATCACAAAAATACACAGGGTGATCCATTTATAATGCCCCCCCCACCTCTCCCTCTATTTCCTTCTCAACAGCTGACTGAATATCGTGAAAACGATTACTCATGTCTCAGACGAGGGTGTTAAAACATAACACGTCTATTGAGATTGCTGGGAAGACATGCAGTGGCTTTGTCGATTTATGAATTGTAATTTTCACTTAATTTTCTCCCTATTATGTCAGTGGGGGTGTCTATCATTGGGTCACGCAGGGATCTTCCAAGTGCCCTTGAACTGGCTTTGGAATCTCAGCGCCTTACTCGTGGGGCCTCCGCCTTTAGTTTTGTGTGTGGCGCACAATTCGATTTCTGTCTTCCATTCCAGCCCCCTTCTCCGCTTAACGTTCACGAACGGCATCACCGCTTCACTCCCGATGCGAGTATCGTGGATACAATTCCCGTTCCGCCCATCAGCTCATTCCTCTCTACCAGTCATTTTCTTTTCATCAACTCAATCCATTCGCTTTCTCTGACCGCCTGACCTCTCTCTCTCTCTCAATAAAATAAACCTTGACACACCCACGGTAGGTTGAGCCGTTTATTAAAATATATCGGCACCCGTTTGCTGCTGTGCAGGGGTTATTGCATTCGTCAAGAAGAAGATAAGGTTAAAGGTTAAAAGATAAAATAGAGGCACGTGTTTCTGTAACAGACCAAGTCAAGACATCAAAAAACATTGCGTTCAGCTTCTCATTTGCCGACTTAAATTTAAGGTAGCTTCAGTTCATTATTGCTTAATTAATTAAAACTTCCCCTGATAATTGCAGCTTTTGCTCTGACGACCCAGACCTAGGTTTAACATGGGGCAGCACTGAGTTTTCCCGGCCTTATCCAGGTGGTGGCCATTATGAGCCTAGGGTCCCAGACGGAGTGCCGAGCCAGGGCTGAGGGGCCCCCCACAGGTCCCGCACGAGGGGTTCGAAAGGTGGACCGGGGGTGGTGGTCGGGAGCTCAGGAAGTGAAGGGATAATGGGAGGAAACCCCGAAAGAGGACCCTGGCTCAGATGGATTCTAACCTTCACTCGAGCCACGGGAGACAGTGCTGTCTGTTATGCATGTCCATAATTAGACACAATACTAATTACCATGTCTAATTATCCAAGCCGGATGTGCACTTGAGTTTAATTCATTAAACCCACAGCAGACAGCACTGTGGCCCCGCTGGGGTGCGCGCAGTCATGGCGGCGGTGATGGTGACAGTGCCGGTGATGATGGTGGTAGCAGTAGCGATGGTGCTGGTGATGATGATGATGATGATAGACGGGATGGCTTCCCAAGGCCCTCACCCGCGCCCCTCTCCTCCAGGTCCTTGATCGTGTCCAATCGTAATGTCAAGTCTGACGCGCATTAGACGCGTCGGATGATTTGGTAAAGCGCAGGAAAAACACGGCCCGTGGGCATGGCGAGGGCAAGCGAACTTCAGAACATCCCGTTTCACCTACTCCAGCTCGCAGGGCGTGAGCGACGGACATTTCGGCTGGCACCCTTTTGAGGACTGCAGTTAAATATGGGTACGCTACATGTCCTACCAGGAAGCTAACTCCTCTGCCCACCCCGGTGACCGCTGATACATCAACGAGGAGTGTTCGGCACAGCTAAAGAGAAGCCTGCAAACTGTAACCAGGGACGTTAAAGGCTAAAGGTTAAGCGTAAACTAAGATTTACGTCTCCAGGCTTTTCAGAATTCGGGCCAAACAACAAGAAAAGTTATAATAAAACAATATCGTTTATAATAATCATAATAATCATAAACAAAAGAGGCGCTGTGGCGAAAACAACCGTGCCATGAGAAATAACGCACCCCATGCAGAGTTTACTGAATGGCCATTCAGCCGCTGACAGTCTTTTTACGCTGCACATCGCCTTTGTACTAATCTTCAAGGTTTAGTCCATAAGCAAGGCTTAGCGTTACGTGTCGTCCAATTGTTGGCCAGCTAACCCCACAATTAAACCTCGCCATGGCACAGACGATGGAAGTGGCAACTAGAGCCTGGTGGTCAAGAGGGAAGACCTAAAGCCACGCGGCGGTGGTGGTGGCAGTGGTGGTGGTGATGATGATGACGAGATAGCCCTTCGAGGTAGCACGGGCGACTGTGCAGCAGCAGCAGCAGCGGAGGATCTAGCGGAGGTGGCGGAAGCGATGGCGAGGTTGCGGTGGCATACACGGTGTATCATCCGCGATGACCTCTTGACCTTAACAATCCCCCCAGCCTTCCGCTTGCATCTACCGCCGATCCCAGCCCCGTCCCGCGCCACGTCTAGCCCTCGATTCCGCCGCTCTGCCGAAGTCTACACCGGGCACCGTTATTGTCACGGTGAGCGGTTTCGTTTTCGCCGCGGCGCCACCGAGACCCTAGCCACCCCGACCACGGATGCCCACCGCCGCCATTCCCGCCGCGAACCACCAACCCCGGCCGTGACGGTCAGGGAGATTGTCAAGGCCGGTGTCCTCCCGTACGGCAAGAATGTGCGGGGCAGCTGGGGTCGCGATTGCATGAAGAGGGAGGATCGGGGACAGGGAGGGGGGGGGACGGTGGGTAGGCCATGCTGAATATATTTTTTCAGGGGGGTGAGGGAGAGGGTGGTGGAATTGTCGTTTCTTGGCAAGGAGGTGGCAATTATTTTTGGGTACGGAGGGACAGAAGGAGGGATTGGCACAGGTGAATCCCCGCAATGGGAGGGAGGGGAGGGCAAGCATTTCTTCTGGATCTGAATTTGTATTTGGGACGGGGGTAACTCCGCGGGGTGGGGTGGGGGTTCGGGGGCGTGCGTCGTTGGGGTCGGTGCCGCGAGTTACAGGTCGCTCTCGCCGTAGAGGGCCATGGAGAAGGACATGTAGTCCAGGCAGCCGGGGGTGCCCTCGGAGCCCGAGTAGTGGGCCATGCGCGAGATGCAGTACTCGGCCTGCTCCGGGGGAAGCTCCCGGCGCAGCTCCTCGGCCGTGATGAAGTTCTGTGTGACGCGCGGGATGGGGGCAGAGGGGGCGGCGAGAAACCCACAGAGTCACCCTCCTACCCCTCGTCTCACTCTACTACCCCCTTCACACACTCTCCTACCTCTCCCCTCTCGTTTCCCCCTACTACCCCCCTCCACGCACTCTCCCCTCTCGTCTCACTCCACTACCCCCCTCCACGCACTCTCCTACCTCTCCCCTCTCGTTTCACTCCACTACCCCCCTCCACGCACTCTCCTACCTCTTCCCTCTCGTTTCACTCCACTACCCCCCTCCATGCACTCTCCTACCTCTCCCCTCTCGTTTCACTCCACTACCCCCCTCCACGCACTTTCCTACCTCTCCCCTCTCGTCTCACTCTACTACCCCCCTCCACGCGCTTGCCTATCTCTCCCCTCTAAGACAAATTTAACCTTTCCTAAATGTTAAAGGATACATTTCCCGATTTGGCCCCATATTTTTCATGGAGGGCTCTTGCCATAAACGAGTGGTAATCTGACGGCGTTTGTCGAACCTTCCTGACTGTTGATGAGACCCAGAAAGTCAAAACCAGTCAAAAATGTGATTGCTTAAATAAACAATATTAATAATAATGTTGTTCTAGAAGCACAACACAGGCTCGCTCTTGAAGAGAGAGAGTGACTCAGATGGGCGAGGAGGAACCACAGATAGTGGGTGTTGTTGCCGGGTGTTGTTGCCGGGTGTTGTTGGCGGGTGTTGTTGGCAGGTGTTGTTGGTGGGTGTTGTTGCCGGGTGTTGTTGCCGGGTGTTGTTGGCGGGTGTTGTTGGCGGGTGTTGTTGGTGGGTGTTGTTGCCAGGTGTTGGTGGTTGTTGTTGGTGGGTGTTGTTGGTGGGTGTTGTTGGCCGGGTGTTGTTGCCGAATGTTGTTGACAGGTGTTGCTGCTGGGTGTTGTTGGTGGGTGTTGTTGGCCGGGTGTTGTTGCCGAATGTTGTTGACAGGTGTTGCTGCTGGGTGTTGTTGCTGCCGGGTGTTGTTGTTGTTAGGTGGCGGGTCCCGGCACGTGGCCCTCACCTTGTCTGCGGCGAGGATCTTGAAGGAGGCGATGACCTGCTCGGCTGTGTCGGTGTCGGCCGTCTCCCGCGTCATGAAGTCGATGAACGACTGGAAGGTGACCGAGCCGGTGTTGGTGGCGTCCACCAGGGTCATGATGCGCGCAAACTCCGCCTCGCCCTGGTACCACAGTGACATCGTCCGCGACATCAACGTCCACATCATCATCATCATCATCCCCGACAGCGTCCGCATTCAGTGGACGATGTCGTGACCGCTCAAGCCATCGTCATCATCACATACATCGACCCCCATCGTTGTTAACATCGCCATCATCACCGGCATAGTCCACATTGGTGTCAGCGGCTGCTGTGATGTCAAATTTATCGACATCATTCACATCATCCCCATTGGCAACAACATCGAGATCATCCTTGACATCAACATCATCCACATGATCGTTAGCCTCAGAACCATCCACACGCTCGACATACACATCGACATGCCCAACGACATCATCATGCACTTTGAACATTATCAACTGGTGCATAGACGTCACCGACATTATCCAACGTCAATTTAAATAAATATTTTCGTTAAAGAGTCCCCCCCCTCCCCCAACTAACTTCCACAGAGATCCGAAAGTCAAAGCGACTTCCATTCACTCTCGTAGAGATGTACCGGCTACATTCCACCCCCCCCCCCTGCCCCCCATTCAACCCCACGCAACCGCAGGTGCCCACGTTGGCGGCGGGGGGTGACGCCAAGGGATCAACGGAACGGAAGAAACACCCCCTGGGGTGGGGGCGAGCAAAGGGCATTCGGGCAAGAGGGTGGGTTAGGGTGATCGACGCTCGCCTACCAGATCGTAGCCCATGGAGATAAGGCACGCCCTGAAATCATCTGGCTCCATCATCCCGTTCTTCTTCTACTCGGCGGTCGGGAAGAGCAGGAGGAGCAGGAGGAGCCGCAGGAGGAGGAGCAGGAGAAGCAGGAGGTGGCGACAGGAGCAGAGGATAGGATCGCGAAGGACCCCCGCCACGTAGTAAGTGGGACGATGGACAGAGCGACGCCATGTCCACGTGAGTGTGCGAATGATGTGTGGACACGGACATAGTTGCGGCGCAGGGAGAGACGCACAAGCCAGGCGCACAGAGACAGACACGCAGAGACACACAGAGGGAGAGACGAGCACAGGGCAAAGAGAGAGTCAGTGCGGGTAGTTGGACGGTGCCACGCGGGCGGGAACGGGGCGCCAGGCGGCGCACGCCTGGCGATCGTACCTGCTCGTCCTCCACCAGGTCGTAGCCCAGGCTGATGAGGCAGGCCTTAAAATCCTCGAAGCCCAGCGCGCCCTCCTGACACTGCGAGCGCCGCGTGCGTGCGTGGGTGCGTGCGTGGGTGCGTGCGTGCGTGGGTGCGTGCGTGCATGTGTGGGTGCGTGGGTGCGTGCGTGGGTGCGTGCGTGGGTGCGTGGCATTGGGTGCGGGTGGCAAGCCGAGGCGGGCGAGCGTTGTGGCGCGGCCGCCGGCGTGGTCAGCAACGCGCGTTACAGGGCAGAGCACACGGACAGCATGCGCGCACACGCGCGCGCAAGGGGAGCGTTAGTGCCGGGTTAGTGCCACGTATCATACACTGCAGACGGTGGCGTGAGCATCGCGTTCGATCTGGCGCCACGCTGCAAGCCGGTGGTCCAGCCGCGCACGCATGCAGGGCAGCCCGCGTGTCGATCCACTGCTGGATGAGTGTTGCGTTAGTGCCCGCGTCACGCTGTGGATGTTAGTATGAGGATGACGCCAGTGTTTGTGTCACGCTGTGGATGTTAGTGTTAGCGTGACGGCAGTGTTTGTGTCACGATAAAGTGTCACAGTGGTCGGTGTTAGTGTTTGGATCATGGCATGGGGTCGTGTCGGTCATATGAAGTTATACCAACCGACTGACTGACTTTATTTGGCCAATGTGTGTACGGCCAATATAGATGATTTAATTTGTGTTTAGTGGCAAGTGCCTCGTTGAGAATCGTCAACTCTTTACGCTTCGCATAACTACATTTTTTTCGTCGTCTCTTTAAACAAAACACACTTTAGGCAGAGGCTGCACTTTTATCTCCGGTAACACTCGAGGCCTCCCAGAGGTTGTCCTGGAGGCCCGTGTCTGAATGCCACGTGGGCCCCTCATTAATCATTAGTGACAGAAAAACAACACACACACACGGGCCCGCTCTGGGGGGCCCACTTTTGTCAGTATGTTGAACTTCTTTTACACCCCCCCCCCGTAGCCAACCGTGCTAATCGAAGGTGGCCCTGTCGACTGTAACGGCACGTGAGGTGATGGCGTGGGGGCTGGGTGAAGGGGGTGGGGGTGGGTGTCTGGGCACGGTGGCCTCACCCGGTCGAAGTGGGTGAAGGAGGCGCGGAACTCGTTGAGCTGCTCCTGGCTGATGCCCTTCGCGTCCCGCGTCAGGATCTGGTTCTCCACCTCGTTGATCGTCCGCGCGATCGTCGTCAGCAGCTGCTCCCAGCCCACGCGGATGTGCTGCACGAAGGAGGTCACGCATCGAGGGTCACGGGGTCGGGGAACGATGATTAGCGATCGGGGGGGATTCGAGATCGGAGATCACGAACGTTGTACCAGGATTAATGGATCATGGAACGGAGATCATGGACAATGGTACCAGGGTTTGTAAATCAAGATTATGGTACCGGGAACCAGGGACTATGGATCTCATGTTAGGGACCACGTACCAGGGATCAGGGTTTACAGATCACAGATCAGTGCCCACCATTGACCAGATTCATGGATCAGCAGCAGCACGGACCAGGGTGGAGGAGAGAGGGAGAGATGTTCTATCTGCGCCCCCAGCGTCTGGATGGCGTGGACATCTGGGTTGAAGTGCGGGGTGTGTGGTGTTGTCACATCCATGGTGTAGTATGGTGGGGTGTATGGTGGTGTGGTGTATGGTGGTGTGTATGGGGCACGGTGGTGTGTATGGGGTATGGTGGTATGTATGGTAGTGTGCGTGGAGTATGACGGTGCGTGCATTCTACGGGTTGTGTGCATAGTGCACGGGGGTGTGTATGGTGAGCGTGGTGAGCCGTGCTCACCTCCATGGTGTAGTTGGTGTGCTTGTTGTCAAAGACGAGGGCCTCCTGGATGAGCTGGTGGTCGCCCTCCAGCTTGTCGATGTTGGGTTTGTAGTTGATGATGTTCTGCTCGTAGGACTTGAGCTGGTTCATCTGGTCCTCCAGGGTGCCCTGCATCTGCACTGAGATGCGCCCGATCTCCTGCAGGGACACGGAGGCGTGGAGATCAAGGCAATGGTGTGGACCATGACAATGGCGATAATGAAGACGTTGATAATGATGATTTATATATGTATATTGAACTTCTTCACATAGCCAACCGTGCTAATCGGAGGTGCGGGAATCATAATGAAGACGACGACTGTGACGAAGATGATGAAGATGACAAAGAGTGATGATAATGATGATGATAATAATCATGATGATTATCGGTCCGAGTCTAGTTCCATAAGTGAGGTCGGAGGTGAGAGGTCATGGATGTGGACACGGGTGAGGTCGAACCTCCATCTTGGTCTGGATCCAGGGCCCGATGATGTTGGCCGACGAGGCGAACTGGCGGCGCAGGCGCTCGTTAGAATGTTGGCGCGCGAGCTCCTCCTGCAGGGACTGGTCCCGCTGTGGCACCAGCTGCCTCACCTGCCGCACAGGGACAGGCATACGCATGGCTCACGCATGGCGCACGGGTGGCTCACGCAAGGCAGACGTTCTGCGCATGCACAGCTCACTCGTGGCTTATGCGTAGCCCACGCATGGCTCACGCATGGCTTATGCATGGCACACGCATGGGTCATGCATGGAACACACATAGCGCAGCATGGCTTGCACGTGTCTCACGAATGCCGTATGCATGGCCCACGCGTGGCGCACGCATGGCATACGCATCAACTCACTCGTTCACTCGCTCAGTCACGCACCTGCATTTCCTGTTCACTCACTAACCCGCATATATCCCTTCACTTGCTCATTTTCTCATTTACCTGCCCCCTGCACCCACCACTAGGCCAGTTGTCTGGCTGTATGGATAATGGTCTGTCTGTCCGCTCATCTTTCAATCTGTTTGTCTGCATGCATGTCTGTTTGGCTCTCCATATGTCCATCTGTATGTCCAGTGATTCAACTCTCTGTCCAAAAGCCCATCCGTCCAATTATACATCCATCAGTCACTCTGTCTTGGTTGTTCGTCAATTTCTCTGTCCAGTACATCCGTTTGTCATTCTGTCCACCCGTCTGTATGTGTGTATATCTGTTTGTCCATCGATATATTCATCGGTCTATCCCTCCATCCATTCAAACATCCATCTGTCTCCATGTCCATTTGTCTGTCCATCTCTCTGTCCACCTGTCCGTCCGTCCATCCGTCCGTCAGGGCAGCAGTGCCTCACCGAGTCCCACTTGGTGGTGATGTCCTGCGGAGTGAGGTTGGAGTAGGGGTTGGGGCCGACCAGCTTGATGTTGTAGGTCTGCGAGATCTTCACCACCTCCTGAGTGGATGGCCAAGATTGCCGTCTTCTCCTTGTCTGCCTCGGGGATGGTCGCCTTGAACTGTTCGTGGGCTGTGATGAGAAGCTGGGGGGCCACGTGCCGAGGAGTGGGTTGGGGGGGGGGTGCACCCGAGAGCCAGGGTTAGAGCCGAGGTCAGAAGTCGAGGCGAAACAAGGTCAAACCACTGCTCCCCCCCATAACCGACGCACGGCGGGGAGGCCCTCATCCAGCAGTGGATTAACAAAGGGCAGTGCGTGCACCCAAAACGCTGCCGCGCAAATCTGCACCCGCTGTGTCCTTGTCTGCTGATGCCGGATCTTCTCGTTTCAGCACCAATTGCCAAGGCCAAGCTGAGGCCCTTTGCGGAACCCAGCTCAAACGCGGCAGGCCGAGAGCACCGGGGGAAGAGAGGCCCGTGGCCGCACGAGGGCTGCCACATTAAACTGGCCCGCAAACGACACCCACCTGTCACTGAATCTTAGTCGCGATAATCGGGTGCTAGAGGGGGGACTAATTTCGAGCTACCAACAACGACGCCAGATTCATAGTTTTAGCCACACTTCACCACTTCGGTCGCTGCGAGGGTTTCTCTAAAGTCGGTCGGAAATGTGCGGCGCTATTTTCGCGATCTCGTTGGACAACGCTAAGGCGTGCGCGTTCACGAGTGGTTGCTCGTCGCAATGTCGGGCCGCGTGGGTACCTGTATCTCCTCGATGGTGTGCACAATGAACATGTCCTGCAGGTCCTCCTGGGCGCCTTCCATCCAGTTGTTGAAGGGCGCGGCGCGCTTGGCGAACTCCAGGTACAGCTGGTCGATCGTCTCCAGCAGCTTCTCGGTCCTCTGTGGGGAGCGGCGTCCACACGGCCCGGCTCAGCCTCTCGGGCGATTTGCTCGGCGAGTCTTCACTTGCTCGCAAAATTGTCAATTCACTCGCCAAGTAGTTCGCTGAATGGTTCGCTCATTCACTCGCCTTCTCACCCACTTGTTCAGCCATCGAGTCACTCGCTCAGTAACTAATTTATGAAATCAATCACCACCTCAATTAACCAACCACTTGTTAAGGTATCGCTCAACGGCTAACTCAATCATTAACTTACAAAATCACTCACAAACAAACTCATCAAATAATTCTACCAACTACCCACCCGCTCACCGACTAACTCATGAACTTACTCACTTGCCTACTTTGTCAATAAATAACTCCCTTTTACTCACTCATTCCATCGATAACTCACCGTCTCACCCACTCGCTCGCTAAGGCAGTCACTCACCTACTTACACTCACCCACTCGCCTACTCAGCCAATCACTCACTGACCTACTTACACACTCGCTCACCCCACTCACCCACCCACCCACCCACTCGCTCACATCCCACCGAATGTAATAAAAAAAAGCGCAAATAATCGAAAGATCCCCGGTGCGCCGCTCCCTCTTCACCTCCAGTGCCTCCCTCCTCTTCTGTGTGAGGGTGCCCAGGCTGTCCCACTGGTCGCAGATCGCCTGGCAGCGCGCATTCACCGACACTGCGTCGTGGTAGTCCAGCTCGCTGTGGATGGGGAAGACGCGGGTCAGCAGAGGGGGTAGCATTCACAATAGACTGACGGAAAAAAAAAACCTAATTCCTATCTTGTGGCCACTCCCTCGTGTGCCACGCCGGCCTTCACAGGTGCTCGCTAACAGCACTTGTCCCAACAGTCTGCTGAGGCTATACAGGTGATCTTTGTGTGTCTTGGTGGTGAGATGTTATCTCCCTCGTCTGGTATGCGGGAAATCATGGGTTCGATCTTGACCCTGACGCCTGTAATATTTGGAGTTTGCGTGCTCCCGCCACGTGGATCTTTCTTGGGGTCCTCCGGTACCTCCATCCATATTTAGAATCAACGTGCGTTGAGAGAATTTGGCTGCTACGCATTTCCACACGATAAGCCACTTCGTTTGGCTCTCATTTGTGGTAGCCAGGTCGCTTCTGATAAAGAGCTGCATAGCTCAGTGGGCTCTAGCTGGTAAAATAAAATCTACTTAATTTATTCGTTTAAGTTGAGTACATACTTGAGCTCCTGTGCGATGGCGGCGATCTGTTCCACGCGGTCTTGGTGGGCGGCCAAGTCGCTCTCGAAGGCCTCGTGCTTCTTCATCAGCGCCTTGATCTCCATCAGGGAGCACGACTCGTAGTCCTTCTGAGACAGCCACGACTCCTTGCCTGTGCGCCGCGCCGGAGACACCGAAGAGACATGGGATGAGGGGACGCGGGGACAGGTGACATGGCACGGGGGACACGGGAGACATAGCACGGGAGATACGGGATGGGGGACAAGGCACGGGACATGGGAAACACAAGATGGGGGAACACGCGGACAGGTGACATGGCACCGGATACACGGGATAGGGGAAATGGGCAGGTGACATGGCACGGGAGACACGGGACATGGGGAGCATGGGATGAGAGGCACGGGATGGGAGATGCAGATGGGGATGGGAGACATGGGGATGATAAATGTGGTACAGGAGGCGTGGCGGACGCATGGGATGGAAGGCGTGGGAAGGGAGATGATTGAATGAACAGGACAGGGCAGGCGAGACGGCCGCGACAGTCCGAGTGTCGCGGCGTGAGACAGGGCGACGGGTCAAGGGGTCATCCTCTCTGCGCGGGGGAGGTGAGGGGTGAGGGACTCTGCTGTACTGGTGCGGGGGGTGGGGGGGAGGTCTCACCACACTTGAGGGGGGGGGAGGGGGTGCTCACCGTGGGTCCACGTCTCATGGATCGTCGCCTTCTGGCGGAACTTCTCGGCAAGGTGGTCGAGGCGCTCGAGGCGGCGGATCTCGGTGAGGAGCCACTCCTCGTAGCCCTTCTCCACCTGCTCCAGGCCCTTCCACGCGTTGGCAATGTCCTGAGCACGGCACGGGGGAGGGGACGCGAGACAACGCTCGATCAATCAATGAACTGAACAGTCTATAGAGCAACCAATCACTTACCCTGTTGATCCACCGGCCTAGCCAACGACCAATCGATACGTTGCCCCATAGGTCGTGAATAAATCAAAGCAACTATTGACCAATCACACAACCTGTGCATCAGTTATCAAGTTAGCTCATCAGTGAACTAACTGATCAATACGTTAATCCATGCTTATGATGATGATGGTGATGAATAAGACAGTGTTAGGAAATGTGATGGTGGAGATGATGATGATGATTATGATGGATGGTGACAATGATGATAACAATGGTAGTGATAGTCATGATGATGCTGTTGTTGGCAGTAATGGTGGTTGAGATGTCGGTGGCAGTGATGGTAATCTTGGTGGTGATGGCAGAGATAATGATGATAATGTTTAGGATGACGACGATGATAATGAAGATGGTGGTAGTGATGATGGTGGCAGAGGAGATTATGGTAAAGATGATAGTGGAAGATGAGGTGATGGCAAATATGACTACGACGACGTTGAAAGCGGTGATCATGGTAGGCGACGTTGGCGGAGGTGGCACACGGCGGCGTTGGCGACGCGGTGACGACGCGGCGATGACGCGACGCCGATTCGCACGAATGCCTCACCGACACCATCTTGCCCTCGGACGGCATGAATGCCGGGCGGTTGCTGAGCCGCAGCTTGGTCTGCAGGGTGTTGAAGTTGATCTCCAGCTGGCATTTCTCCTGCACCTTGGGCGGCTTGTGCATGCGGCGGTAGTCACGGAAGTCCTCCAACTTCTGCTGCATGGCGCGCATCGTGTTCTCCGGCACGCGGTTCTCCAGCCATGGGATGGTGCGCCGGATCCACTCCAGCAGCTGCCCCCACGGAGACATGGACACGGAATGACACCCTCCTCCCCCACCACCATCACACGACCACCAGACCGTCGTGTAGCCAAACAGAGACTGCTGCGGCAAAGTGCGGTTAGCTCCAGAAGATGTCTCGCGTAAAGACAGAGGTCTCCCAAGCGTAGGTTGAGAGGCAAGTTCTGTTAGTGAGCACCGAAGAATTCCGGCACGACACACGAGGGGGTGGGCGACCCAACACCGCCTCTGTCTCCCCAGTGCTGATGTTTTTGGCACACCGCGCCAGGTACTCATTTAAGGCTGAGTAAACCTAGGGGAGGCGCGGGACCGGTTCAGATGATCGTCACTGGTGTTGGTCATGAACGGGAATCGAATTTGGGTCTCTGTCGGGTTTGTAGCGCAACGTACTGACCACTGCACTGGTGTGCCCACTATGGACATTCACACACACAACAACAACAACCGCCATTCGACGCTAAGTAGTGGTGACGTCACCACGGCGCTTGTGCCAGGCTATGTGCACGTTAAGGCCACACACACACACACACATGGATATCCACACACACGTAAGGACACACACACACGTGGACATTCACACACGTGGACATCCACACACACGTGGACACACACGTGGACACACACACGTAGGGACACACACACATGTGGACACTCACACACGTGGACATCCACACACACGTGGACACACACACGTAGGGACACACACGTGGACACCCATACACGTGGGCATTCACACACACGTGGACACACACACGTAGGGACACACACACGTGGACACACACATGTAGGGACACACACACGTGGACACACGCACGTAGGGACACACACACGTGGACATCCATACACGTGGGCATTCACACACACGTGGACACACACACGTAGGGACACACACACGTGGACACCCATACACGTGGCGCGCCCCCCCCCCACCCATTCCTCACGTCGCTGGCGAGCTTCTCGTACTCCTCCATCAGCTTCTCGTTCTCCTGGTTCACGGCCAGCACCTTGCAGATCCGATTGGCAGCGGTCTCCGCCTGCAGGATGGTGGTGGGGTGGTGGGGTGGGCACGACGAGGGTAGTCGGGGAGGTGAGAAGAGAGGAGGTAAGAGGAGGTGATGAAGGTGGAGGTGAGTGTTTGAGAGGCGTTTAGGCGAAGGGCAGGTGATGATGTGTGGGGGTGGAGGGGGTAACGGGGGACGCGGAGAAGCGATGGAGGAGGTGATGATGTGTGGGGGTGGAGGAGGAGGTGAGTGGTGCGGCGGTAACGGGAGGCGATGAGGTGGGGTTGGAAGACGTGGGGGGAGAATACGAGGTTGGGATTGATGGGGTGAGTAGCGTGTGCGGAGTGAGAGGGGAGAAAGCGTGAGCGGAGAGTGTCGAGTGTTTCTTTGGAGAGGAAGGAGCGAGCATTGATTACCCGTGACGGGGAAAGGGGGATTGCTGGGGAGTGTTTTCGGAGCGAGTGTTTCCGAGTGAGCGTGCGAGCTTACCTGCTCAGCGCCGGCGAACGCATGGTAGAAGCACGACACATAGGTCATGATGGCCTTCTCGTCGGGTTTGGGAGTGTTCACAATGTCTGTGTGATTGTGCGGGAAGTTTATATCGAGACAGACACACGGGTGGGTGGGTGGGTGGGGTCATAGGGGGGGGGGACGAGGAGGACAGCAGAGGTCAAGATGCAGGTCAAAGAGAGCAGAGCGATAGAGGAAGAGAGGAGAGGTGGACGGGGGTGAAGCTTTGGCAAGGATACCAGGCTGGAGATCACCTGGAGGGAAAGGAAGGAAGATCGCTGACATCCTGGGAGAGAACGTCACAGCCACGAGGACCCGTGGATGGAGTAACGAGTGGGCTTAGCGAGGGTCACGTGGGCCCTGGTGCACGGAATTCATTGCCCCCCCCCTAACTTACGCCCCCCCCCCCCACAGACCCTCTTCGTAGTCCAGCGCCTGGTGCCCCTCCTGCGTTCTACTCGATGGAAGCCACGCCACTGAGTAGACGCAGGAGAGAGCCCGCAGACAACTACTGCAGAGCTGGGGGGGAAGGAGTGGAAAGGAAAAGTCGGAACGCGGAACACCAAGGAGAGGATTCCGGTGCGGAGGAATCTGCGGAGGGGGCACGCAGACTAAGGCACACACGCGGATAGGTCGAGAGACAGGCACGAGGCAGACAAGACCGACCGAATAACAGACAGGCAGACTAATACAGATAGACTGACGGACAGGCATTCCAAAAGACAGACCGACAGATTAACAGACAAGACAGACAGACATACTGACAGACAGCCAGATAGATAAACAATCATACTGACAGCCAGACAGATGAACAATCGTACAGACAGACAGCCAGACAGATAAACAATCATACTGACAGTCAGACAGATAAACAATTGTACAGACAGACAGGCAGACAGATAAACCAGCGTATTGGCAGTCGGCAAAGGGCTCCAACAAAGCACAGCTCCGTGGAAAGATCTGAAAGGAGAGAGAGGGGAAGAGGGAGATACACACGGGGAGAGATGGAGAGAGAGGAGGAGGAGGAGTTGGGGGGGTAGTGGACGTGTTGTGCTGAGTCCGACATTCGCTGCACGAGGAGACGACCCCGCTCCTCTGGGCCTCCCTCCCTCACCTTCTTGGCTCCGGAGAAGGCGTGATAGTAACTAGAGATGTAAGTCATTACAGCGCGTTCGTCAGGCTTGGCTGTGTTCACCACGTCTGCCAGCGGCGGAGAGGATACACACAGAGAGAGAGAGACAAAGACGGATTGGGACTGTGGGCGAGAAGCTAACGCGAGCAATGCAGAGGACGATCCCGCGGGGGCAGGACCCTCCTGGCAATGAGCCTCCAGGAGGGTTGCGGCGATATGAATGTCGCGGTCTGATGATTGCCGCAGTATCTTTGCGGTTTTATCTCTGTGACTTTATCTTTGCGATTGCGTCTTTGCGATTGTATCTTTGACCGCTCTATCTTTGTGATGGTATATTTGCGGTGGTGTCTTTGCGATTGTATCTTTGTGATTGTATCTTTGTGATTGTACCTTTGTGATTGCATCTTTGTGGTTCTATCTTTGCAGTTGCATGTTTGTGATTGTATCTTTCCGGTTGCCACTCAGTGATTGTAATTCGCACGATCATTGTCACGGTGTTGTTGCTTTGCAGTAAGTTCAGCACGGATAGAGGTCACCTACAAGTTGGACCCAGCAGTTCTCTCCACCCACACAAGGAGCGCTCGCGGAGTGTGAATCGACTCCGATCTCGCACCGAGGATTGTACAATGACGGTGCACGATTACAGAACAGGATCGGTGGCATTTCATCAATCCACCAATTATCATCATCACCATCAGCCACGATCAATCCACTGCTGGACGAAGGCCTCCTTTAAAGCCGTCACCATGCCTCATGATCCACCCAGCACCTGCACACTAGCCCCGACCTCACCGTCCCATCGCTCACCTTTACCCTCACCCTCACTCCCATCGCCTATCCGCCAAACCCTCACCGCTACTCCGAGCGAACCACCGACACGCTGACCCTGCCCGCCACCTGCCCCCTGTGCTCACCTTCTGCGTCCAACATCTTGGGGATGTCTAGGTACTTCTCGGCCACCTCGAAGGCCGTGTTGAGGTTTCCGATAGGGTCATCCTGGGGTCACAAGGGGGGGTGAGAGGTCAGCGTCAGGCTGAGGCGCTCGGGGAACGACGGTGCTGTTGCTGTGTGATGGGTTGATCGTCTGGCTTGCACGTGATGGTATAACACGTAGCAGGTTTTCGCGACCAATATTATTCATTATAAAGCTTTTTGGGTTAGATCGCCTAAGTATAAATGTGTCGTAACCCTCCACCACCCGGACACAGCCAATTAATAAGGGGTTTGTCAGGACCCTATTGCAGAACAGGGGGAGAGAGCATAGAAGCTCCACACAGAAGGGGGGCGCCCTAGTCGGGCATCGAACCCAGGGCCCTTCTGCCGTGAGGCGCGCGCGAGCATCACCACCGCCCTGGCCGCCCGGGAGATGGCGATGGTGACGACGACGAAGTGCGCGCGTGCACTGTCACCTTTCTCAGCTTGGCGTAATCGATGAGGTCAGGACGGTGGCGGTGGATGAGGGCGCACAGCGCGAGGCCGTCCTTCCAGCTGCCGAGGGAAAAGTCACGCATCCTGTAAGGTCTCCATCGCCGTCATCGTCATCAGCAGCATAATCATTATTGTCATCGTCATCATTATTATCATCAGCATCATCCGCAGCGGCATCATCGTCATCATCATCGGCATTAATATCATCAGCAGGAGCAGCGACCGTTGTCGTCATCATCAGCATAATCATCAGTCATCATTATCATCATCCACAGTTGCATCATCATCGTCATAATTTACTGTCATTATTATTGTCATAATCATCATCATCAGCGGTCACTCCACACGGCAACTCAAGAATCGAGTGCAGTTCTCGACATCTGGGCGCTGCGTCAGAGTCACGAGCGCCACCACGGGGGGAGTGGGGAGGGGGGAGTGGGGAGGGGGGATAGACTCGGTTGATGTGCGGTGAGACGACGGGTCTCGAGGAGGAGGAGGGGGGGGGGGGGGCAATGACCTGATGTGGAAGTTCTGCACGTTGACGTTCTTGTAGGGCGCCGTCTTGCGCTGGCACCACAGCAGCAGCCCTTCCTTGGCCGACGTCTCTGTGGGGGGGGGGGGGGGGGGGGGGGGGGAGGGGGGGTGCCACAGCGGCAACGTGGTCAGCCGGAGGGGCTCTCTCCCGCACGTGCCGCTATTGTACCGGGGTCGCGGGGGGGGGAGGTCGCCGGCACTTATTTTTTTATCACAGCGCTCGAGTTGGGACGCGCCCGACGAGACCGCCGCGGATACCGCAGCACACAAACGAATCCGTCGCGGGCCGTGATCGCGCAAAAGAGCAGAGGGTTGAACGACCGGTGAGTGACTTGGCAGCAACGGAGCAGTGCGGCGGTGTGGACGCGTGCCCGGGGTAAAGGGGCGACTCGCCAAAACCATCGTGGTGCCGAGCCACGGTACGACGCGCTGTAAACTATCAACTCGTTTTTTTTATTTTACCAGGTAAGGCCCTCTGAGCTGTGTAGCTCTGTTTCAGAAGCCGACCTGGCCACAAATGACGGCTCAACGAAGTGGCTGATCACGTGGACATTTATAGCCGCAGCCAAATACTCTAAACGTGCGATGTTGATTCTAAATGTGGAAGGAAAAACCGGAGGGCCTGGAGAAAATCCACACGACCACAAGGAAAGAGACACGCAAACTCCAAATATTCAGCAGGCGTCACGGTCGGGATCGAACCCACGACCTCCTGTGTACCAGGCGAGGTAGTTAACATCTCGCCACTGCGGCGCCAGAGGCCACTGAGGGCACGCCAACGCGGAGAGAGCCGACAGCCGAGGAGGCGTGAGAGTCACCCCTGCCAGCGTTGCGGTTAAGCGAAAGATGATCACGACGATGATGACGACAATGATGATGATAACGACGATGACGATGACGACAACGATGATGACGACAACGATGATGACGATGATGACGATGACAACGACGACGACGATTATGACGGACGACGGCTCAGGACCGCATGGGCGACGGCCACCGAGAAGCCCTCGTGGCGCTGGGCAGCTGCTGCTGCTGCTGCTCGATCAGACCCTCGTGTACAGCAGCAGCAGCAACGGCAGCATCGACGATCGTTCGTTTCCCTCTACGTAGAACGGGGGTGGGGGCGGCAAAGACGTAGAACGTGCCGTTTCAATTTTTATTCACTTCTCAAAGCCGGCGGTTTTCTTTGCCGCTGGCTGTGATTGCGTTCACGTGGGCGCCGAGTGGGGGACCCTCGACGAGTGAGGAGCGGCCGACCGTGAACCCGGCGAGCGGCGCGCGTGGCGCAGTGCGGCACAGGAACGATGTGCGCGAACGGCGCCGAGTCGATGACCGAGGGCTGGCGGCGCATCACGGCTCGCCGGCACCAATCGCGGAGAACGAAACCGGAGCGGCGGGGGCGGCGCGGCGGCAACGGCGGGCGTACGAGGGAGTCGCACCTTCCACGGAGATGTCCTGGATGGCAAAACGCAGGATGATGGTCCAGATCATTCCCAGGGTCATCTTCGCGTTCCCGTCAACGATTTCTGAAGAAGAAGAAACAAAAAAAACCACCCACAACATGTCGTCAAAGGGAAGCAGAGTGCACGTGATGATGACGAGGAGGAGGCTTGCGCAGTGGGGGAATGGTCAGCACACTGAACTTGTAAAACAGAGGTCGCCAGTTCGACACACGATCACCCGGCGCGGCAGTTGAGAGAATGGGACAAAGTTGTTTGAACTCCCCTGCACCCCACCCCCCCTGTCCCTGCCAATGCAGTCTGCCCAGAAGCGTAAACGGGTAGAGCTCCTGCTCGTCGAGTGGCAGGTCAGTGGGGTAAAGTGTGGGCACTCCCACCTCTGCCAAGTCTGGCTGCCCGTGATTGAACCGGGCTCCTCAAGCGTAGTGAATTGAGGGTCTCAGTGCAGTTACGAAAGACTTCACACGCTGTGAACATGACATTTTTGCCTTGAAATTAGTTTGACTAAAATGCCCAGTTTGACGATCACGCCTTTGTCTATGTGGTCGGGTGGATGGGAAAGTGCTGCCCCCTGGTGAGGACAAGAGGCCGCCAAAGAACAATATCAGAAGCGGTTCCATGACATCCAGTTCCACGGGCCGTTCTCGAGCAGCGACTTGGGCCGAAGGGATTCTCGTGACGGGACGCTGAGAGCCGCGATCGGACGCTCATCGAAAGGTCAAGATTGTAAAGTCAAAAAATGGAAAGTGAGCAGGAGAGGGCAATTCCCAGCACTGAGCTATTAAACAAATATACAAACCTGAGTTTCGGATGACTTAAAGACGTGTGTAAGGTAACGGTTATATCGCATTAGACAAGTCGCCTGAAATAGAGCGGTATATTGGGAAGGGAGTGTCAGCAGCGGACAGGTGCTGGGGGGAGGGGGGCGAGGGAGGGAGGGAGGGGAGGCGGTGACATTTGGGAGCGGTGGCGCATTGGTTGGCATCGCATTGCCCCTACGAGCTTGGTGAGTTGCGAGTGATATGAGAACCGGTCCCGGGTTGCCTCTGGGTCGGCTCAACCTTAAATTAGGTCCTTGGTGCGGTGTGTAAAACCTAGCACCACCGCGGAGTTTGGCCTCACCGCCCCCCCATCCCCCTCTCTCTCTCTTCCACCGTGCCGGCCTTAATAGACGCTCGCTAACCGCCCGTGTGCGTGCGCGCTCATGCCGGTACGTGTCTGTGCGTCGGTGCAATAAGAAACTGGCCAAACATCCCAGCGCGGGACCTTCCTGAAAACGAGTCCTGAGACTCACTGAGGCTGACTTTCCCGGGTGGTATTAATAATAATAACAATGTCAAAAGAAAACACCACAATCATCACAACGATTAACAAAGGTCAAAGCTCTGATCTGCACGCTGCCTGCTCCGCTCACCCTCAGCGCCGATGGACACCAGCTTGACGCCCTTGCTGGCGATGAAGTCCAGCGCCTTGTTGACGTTGGCGATCTTGTGGAAGCGCATCTTGCCCTTGTCTGGCTTGGGCAGCCGCTCGCCTGCAGCGGAAGGCGAAGCGAGGGTTGGCGGACCACGTCGAGAACAAACAGTTTCGACACATTTCCCAGCGCTCTGTAGCGGCTGATTCGGACGTCATTGCTAAGACATCGTCGTGCATAGTTAATGAATGAATTAATGATCAGAACTTTGTCCCACACGGGCAGAGATCATCTCGATACGTAACTTGGGGAACTTTCCACGTGTCGCTCTTCTATCGCTGCTGCTGCTGCTGCTACTGCCATAGCTACTGGTCACGTGGCAGTCACTCGTCGATTGATTCCTCCACGCGTGTTGGGCACTCGGTCACTGCCAGACACTGACTGCTTCGTCTCATCCAACACCACGCCGCGTGCGACCACCGCCGCTGCAGGACGCAGCACCACACTCACTCACCCTGTCACTCACCCACCCACTCACTCACCCTGTCACTCACCCTGTCACTCACCCGCCGACTCACTCACCCACCCTGTCACTCACCAACCGACTCACTCACCCTGTCACTCACCCACCGACTCACTCACCTTGTCACTCACCCGCTCACTCACTCACCCTGTCACTCACCCACCGACTCACACCCTGTGACTCACCCACCCTGTCACTCACCCACCCTGTCACTCACCCACCCTGTCACTCACCCACTGACTCACTCACCCTGTCACCTACCCTGTCACTCACCCACCCTGTCACTCACCCACCCTGTCACTCACCCTGTCACTCACCCACCCTGTCACTCACCCACCCTGTCACTCACCCTGTCACTCACCCACCCTGCCACTCACCCACCCTGTCACCCACCCTGTCACTCACCCTGTAACTCACCCTGTCACTCACCTACTCACTCTCCTACTCACTCACCCACTCACTCACTCACCCTGTCACTCACCACACCGTGGGACACCTCAGTTCTCTGTCTGCCTCTTCCCTCGCACTTCACCATCATCATCACCATCATCATCACCATCATCGTCGTCGTCTCTTTCCCCCCCCAAGCTCCTTCAACAATAATAACAATAACCTCCCTCAATTAGAGAAATCCCTTACGCCCTCATCTATCCCAGAATTAACAGTGCTGTTTGTTTCTGGCCGCTTTGCGTTTTCGGGATTTTGGGCCCCGTGTTTCTCAGCAAAGCGTGACGACGACAACAACAACAACAACAAAAAACAACACTCCGTCATCTCCACAGCACTCGCTGCCTCTGCATGAACAGCGCCTCGCCGCTGCTGCCGTTGCTGCCCCCGGTGATTGTGGTGGTGGTAGCCATACAATGAATAATGCAGCTGTCCTAGGGGATTACGGATAAATAATTCAGCCTCCACCCCGGGGCTGGGAGCGAGGGTGGGGGTCACAGCCACTGTGGGTGCCCAGACCCCCCCCCCCCTCACCGGCCCCACCCTCTCCGCTCCACGTGCGATGACATGGGAAAGAGACACCCGGAAAGTGTCCGGATAAAAAAAATCCGCGGTGCCGCGTTGTTGGAGTCCCCGTGCGTTCTCCGATACAAACGCTGGTTATGCGATGACCGAATCATTTAAGACACGCAGGTTAATACATATTATGTGCGCTGCCTTAAATTGAAAAAAATATAGCATAGACGACGTTTCGGGAAATGGCCCTTCTTCATGTACATGCTATAAAGGAGGGCCCGCTACACAAGACGTCACCTGTAATATGTATTTACATACACAGCAGCGCACGGGCATGAAGCCGAGTACTGAATCGGTGGTAGGCAGAAGTTCCGTGCTGCTTGTGTATATATATACCACGGGCTAATAGGTGTCCTGTACACTCCAGGCTATCCAAATGATTAGCACGATAATGTAATCAGTTGTCCGGTTCAACTCATCCGTGACCAAGTTGGGAGTGGGGGAGGGGAACTTCGCTGACCCCCCCCCCATGGTATGACCCCCCCCCCCGCCTTCACAGTCAGGACGAGCGACACAAGCCGCGTGAATGACCGGCGAGAGAAGCTCGGCCACAACGAGCGTCGTGTGTGTGTCGGGGTTGTAAAGTTCGCCGTCGCTCTCCCTCTTTATCTCTCTCTTTTTAAATCCTTTATATTAAGTTCACTTGCTTGCTTGCTTGCGCGCTTACGACCGTGCAAATCTTTCGGTCGTTTTTTAACCCACTTCCCGTGATCCAATCGAGCTGACATTTTGCACACAGACTCGTTGTGCGTGACGATTAATTTGCGTGAAATTTTTTTTCCAAAATTTTACACTTTTTAGGAAAATATAAATTATATTTAATTACCAATTGCTTAATGGTGGCAGGCAATCATCTGACCCATAGGTAACAGCCATCTCAAGCCAGAGGACGAGAGGACTCTAGCCGTCCATTTCAAAGACCAATGTGGGCTGGGTTGTGGCCCATTGAACACGCATATAAAGGATTTATAGTGAAAAACTTTGTTTTTACGGGTTAATTTTTTCACCTCTCGCTCTCTCTCTCTCTTCTCTTTGAGGTTCGATTCCATCCAAGTGTGGCTACCGGGAGCGCGTCGCAGATTTAGTTTTGAATGAGACGTCCAATGGACTCCCCTGGCTTTGACCACGCAAAGCCACAGAGATCCCCCCGCCCCCGGTACCGTTTATCCCCAAAGGTCACCAGGGGTCAAGTGCCTTGGGATTTACAGCCAGAGGCGGCTCGAGTGGGAAAGGGGGCCCCCTCTCTCTCTCTCTCTTGAAATGTCGACCTGGGCTGCAATAAGTAATCCGCACGGGTAACGCTTTCTCTATGCACAGCTGGACGAGGACCTCCCCATGCACACGCGTACGCCTATACATGCTCACACCTACAGCTGTGCACGTACACACACGGACGTATACATATGTATGCATGCCCGTGTGTGTGCGTCTTCGTCTGTGGCGAGCGGAAATGCAGTGGTTAGTGCGCTGCCCTTCCACCTGAGTTTGATTCCCAGCCAGGGCGAGCATCAGTGGCGAGTTATATCAGAACCGGTCCTGAGCCTCGGTTAGGTCGACTGGGCCTCAAAGGAGTGCATTGTGCAGTGTGTAAACATGACCACCTGGGAGACAAAGGTGGCTGGGCGTGTGTTCTGGCCACATGAATTCACTTGTGGGCCAATAGGTGCTCACTAACAGCACTTGCTCCAACAGTCTGTGTAGGATATACGGGGGAACTCTGTGTTTGTGCGTGAGGGCGGGGGATTCCGAGTGGAGGTGTGCAAGAAGAAGTGGCGGTGGACGCAGGCTGTGCGTTCATCTCTCCACCTGTGGGTCTCGCGCTCACCTGAGATGACCTCGAGCAGCAGCATGAGCTTGAGGCCGTTCCGAAAGTCATCCTCGATGTTCTCGATGCCCGTGCCGGCCTTCCTCAGGTGTGAGTTGCACCAGGCCGTGAAGGTCTGCAGAGGGCACACGGACCTAGGTGAACATCTCAATGCCACACTTGTACGGAGATCATCTCCTTCCCACACTTGTACAGAGATCATCTTAATGTCACACCTGTACGAAGATCATATCAATCCCACACCTGAACGGAGATCATCTCAATCCCACACCTGTACGGAGAAGACCTCAATACCGCACCTGTATGGAGATCATCTCAATCCCACACCTGTACGGAGTTCATCTCAATCCCACACCTGTACAGAGATCATCTCAATGCCACACCTGAACGGAGATCATCTCAATCCCACACCTGTACAGAGATCATCTCAATGCCACACCTGAACGGAGATCATCTCAATCCCACACCTGTACAAATAACTAAAACTCAACACATTCGTCAGTAGCACTGCCCTAAGATAAATATATGATAGGCAACGTTTCGGGCAATGCCCCTTCCTCGTGATGTGTTGTGAAGAAGGGCCATTACCCAAAACGTCGCCTGTTAGATATATGTTAACACCACTCTGGTATTGACGAAGGTTTTGAGTACACAAATATATATACCGGATTAGAAGACGCGCCCTCCCCACCCTCCCCTCCCCCAGATGACGGCTTAATACACAGAAAAAAAAACAAGGAGTGTATCTCCTCCTAATCGGGAGAACACGGCCATGGTTTCGCCACTTCAGGTGGTGGCAATTGCTGCTCGGGATGTGCTGCGATCTGCCCCGTCAAGGGTCGCAGGTGAGAGTGGCAGGTGGGGGTGGCAACAGGTGGGGGTGACAACAGGTGAGAGTGACAACAGGTGAGAGTCTCCGGAGAACAGCCACTGATCGAGCCATTCTCACCGCAAGTGTAACCGCCGAGAGGCGGCGCCATTATGTGACCGCATGTCTTATTCACGAGACGATTAACGCACGCGCGCACACACAAACTGGTGGACATAAAAGGAAAGCTATACACAATAGGCGACGTTTCGGGCAATGTTTCTTTTTCAATTCATTCCCACGTCATAGCACATCATTAGCGTGCAATGTCGGGCGAATGAATGATGTGTTACGCAGAAGGGGCAATCGACAACAACAACAACAATAGCCGTGACATCGCCACAGCGCTTGTGCCAGGCTAGGTGCACCTTGAGGCTATCGCGCGTGACGTGCGGTCGGCTCTCGCTGCTGACAGGAGGTGTTTATGGGTTGACTGACTGAGATGGCTGACAAATGCGCCACCTGTGCTGCCCATTGTGCCGAATTCAACACACACACACTGACATACACATTCACACAGACAAAGACAAAGATTCCCTGTAGAGCCTTAAACAGACTGTTGGGGCAAGTGCTATTAGCGAGCCACCGATTAAGGCGGGTACGGCACACGAGGGGGTGGGTGGCCAGCACCACGCCCGACCACCTTTGTCTCCCTAGTGACGATGTTTACTACACATCGTACCAGGTACACATACATTCAAGGCTTAGTCGACCTAGGGGAGGCCCAGGACCGGTTCAGATAATCGTCACCGGTGTTGGCCATGAGCGGGAATCGAATCCGGCTCTCCAGGTTTGTAGCACAGCGCCCTAACTGCTACACTACCGCTCCGCACAACACGAAGACAAAGATCCCCCATATAGCCTTAACAGACTGTGGGGGCAAGTGCTGTTAGCGAGCACCTATGAAGGCTGGCATGGCACATACATACACTCACGTGAAGACAAACACGCACACACGCACATACACACATGTATTCAAAGGCTAAGATACTCAGTGTAGCTTTTCACAGACTGTTGGGCCAAGTGTTGTTAGCAAGCACAACAAAGATAAAAGATCCCCCGTATAGCCTGAACAGACTGTAGGGGCAAGTGCTGTTAGCGAGCACCTATGAAGGCCGGAACGGTACACGAGGGGGTGGGTGGCCAGCACCACGCCCGACCGCCTTTGTCTCCCTAGTGGCGATGTTTACACACCGCACCAGGTACTCATTTAAGGCTGAGTCGACCTAGGGGAGGCCCAGGACCGGTTCAGATAATCACACACTCACACACACACACATGTACACACACGCACACCCACACGCAGGCACACGCACACACGTACACACACACATGTACACACACGCACACCCACACGCAGGCACAAGTAAATTACCTCGACAATGCTTCTCTTAGCCCGGAGCGACGTTTATTTGTTCGCGCTAAGAGAGGAACCTGCGACGCCGCCGTCGTTGTTGTTTCTCCGATTCTCGGTGGGGGTTTTTTTCTTCTTCCAACATCGCCTTTCAACACAGCCCCCCCACCCACCACACGCCCACACGCCCGCGGCGCTCCTCAGGTGGCCACGTTCGCCTCATGTTTGATCGCGCGCAGCACCGGGATGAGCGCAGCACGAGAGACGTGACCGTTTGGGGGACACGTTAAACCTCGTGCTGCTGCTGCTGGTGATGCTGGTGGTAATGGTGGTGGTGATGGTGGTGATGTTGGTGCTGGTGGTGTTGGTGGTAATGGTGGTGGTGATGGTGGTGATGTTGGTGATGGTGGTAATGGTGGTGGTTATGGTGGTGGTGCTGGTGATGGTGGTCATGGTGGTGGTGATGGTGGTGGTTATGGTGGTGGTGCTGGTGATGGTGGTCATGGTGGTGATGATGCGTTGGGGAGCGGTGGTGTAGCGGTTAGCGCGCTGCGCTATAAACCCGGCGACACGGGTCCGATTCCCGCTCACGGCCAACACCGGTGACGATTATCTGAACCGGTCCCGGGCCTCCCCTATGTCGACTCAGCCTTAAATGCGTACCTGGTCCGGTGTGTAAACATTGCCACTAGGGAGACAAAGGCGGTCGGGCGTGGTGCTGGCCACCCACCCCCTCGTGTACCGTTCTGGCCTTCATAGGTGCTCGCTAACAGCACTTGCCCCTACAGTCTGTTAAGGCTATACGGGGGATCTTTGTCTTTGATGCGTTGGCGGTGGTGCTCGAGCACAAACGACAACTCGCCACGACCCCAGCCAATAGCAACACCGCGTGGACATAGCTCATGCGCGTGGACGTGTCTGCCGTCTTCATGAGCTATGCACTTTTACATCTACATTTTTCGTGTGTTCCTTCCCCCCGCGCCTCCGATGAGCACGGTTGGCTACGTACGGTGCGTAAAAAGTTCAACATACGTAAATATTAAAAAAATAAAACAATATATAAGCGGCGACGTTTCGGGCAATGGCCCTTCTTCGTAGCACATGCAACAGATGGGACTGTGACGTGGCTCAGCGGTAGCACGTTCGCCACTCGTTTCATAGATTCGTGGTTTCGATTCCGGAAGGCCGCCCTAGTAATTATTCCTGCCGGTGTATTGGCCAATAAGGTAGACTGTAGACGTCATTTGAAACGAGTTCAATCGTTGTGTACCGGCGTCACGGTTCACATTCACCAGAGTCGTAGACTCCGGGGAGGGGAGCAGAGGTAAAGGTAGAATGTGTGGTGAAAGAAAGCAATGGGAGAGAGAAGGGATGCAGCGAAGCAAGTCCCCGAGACAGACACAAAGAAGAGCCCGGCTCAAGATGAGCATCAGCAGAAGAAGAAAGGGAGGAGGAGCTCCCGCGCAGGAAGGGGAGCAAGGGGGAGAAGGAATCACCGGGCCGAGGTGTCGGGGAAGAGAGGGGAGGGGAGAGAGGGGAGGGGAGAAAGGGAGAACAGAGCAGGAAGGAGCGATAAAAAATTAACCCGTAAAAACAAAGTTTTTCACTATAAATCCTTTATATGCGTGGCGGCTTGAGTCCTCTCGTCCTCTGGCTTGAGATGGCTGTCACCTATGGGTCAGATGATTGCCTGCCACCATTAAGCAATTGGTAATTAAATATAATTTATATTTTCCTAAAAAGTGTAAAATTTTGGAAAAAAAATTTCACGCAAATTAATCGTCACGCACAACGAGTCTGTGTGCAAAATGTCAGCTCGATTGGATCACGGGAAGTGGGTTAAAAAACGACCGAAAGATTTGCACGGTCGTAAGCGCGCAAGCAAGCAAGCAAGTGAACTTAATATAAAGGATTTAAAAAGCGAGCTGCACGGAGCAGCGTCTGTTTTCACAGTGGGCGGGGAGAGGGAGGGTGGGAATCAGAATGGGCGTGCCCACGCACAAGGCACGGGAGGCATGGAGATGATTGAGATTGGAGTATACAATGTTCAGACTTTTTTTTTTAAACTTTCTTTCTTTTGTTAAAGAACATGTGAAGAGGAAGCGCCATGGGGTTACTACGCCTGAATAAAGGCGGACTGGATTATGTTAAATAACCAACAAGGTCGGCTTGTATTGCTTGGTGTTATGACCCATGCAGCGTGGTGTTGTTTTTACTTATCTCTCCCAGGTCTCCCGTTTAAAAATATATATGCCTAGTGGAGATGGCTCACGGATCAGAGCGCTAAGCTTGCCAGACGAGGCTTTGGGGCGCCTTCAGCCTTTGGTGGATTGGAGTTTGTATTTTGTAATGGCGGGTGGATTTGAATGGCTGTAATTGTATTACAGCTATTCAAAAACATCTAGCGGCATCATACTCGCCCAGTCCACCCTGCGACATCCACCTAGTCCGCTCCACCTACCCACCCACCCACCCAATCCAGTCCACCATGCTCACATAGTCCACTCCGTAACGCCTATTCACCCAGCTCTCCGCATAATAACCTTCAGGGCCACATGACCTACCCACTGCACAACACCGAGTGATTCCGCAACATCTACCCACACAGTCCACCCACAACATCTACCCAGTCCACTCCACAACACATAAACAGGCCACAGCGCATACCCAGGCGACAACACCTACCCACAACATTCCGGTGCACCATACCCACAGCGTCCACTACACATTAACTACCCAATCCGATCCACAACACCGACCCACCCAGTTCCCTGCACAACACCCACATAGTCCATCCCCACAACAGCTACCAGTCCACTCCACAGCATAAACATCGTCCATAGCACCTACCCACCGAGGCCAGTGCAGTCACAATACCGACCCGGTTCAAGAT